CAAGGGTATTTTTGTAATTTCTTAACCAGATAATTTCAATATTAGCTCTTAACAAAAATAATTATAATTTAAAGATCCTATGGTCAATTTCTTTCCCGAACATTTTCTGATCTTTAAATTATTCCTTAACAAACTTCTAGCATCTTGCGCAAACCCTTGTTGGCGTTAAAACCCAATTATCCAAATTTTCTAAATAAAACTATCATTTCTTACGCACATCTGTAATTATATCGGTTCAATATGTCTTGTTTATAATTAATTACCTATTGGTTCCTAAAAGGGATGAATGTCATGAAGACGACTCGATTTTTGCTGTTAAAATAGCAATGACTTCAAACCAACCACAAAAGAAAACTTGCAAAATAAAAGACAAACTCAAGTTTAAATTTTGGTGTTGTATTTACAATGACTTGACTCCATAGCATCACAAGGATGTGCTTCGTGACAATAGTATGTCTTTTCAATATCGGTAATTATATCATAAGGGTATTTTCAGAGTTATTAACCAACTTCCAGGGACAATTCTTGTCATCCTACAACATAAGGGTATTTTCATAATTTTACCCTACCAAAGTATTTTCATAATTTCCCATCCAAGTACCTATAACATTTAACCTTTGATGATATAAAATATAAGTTACAAATCTATGGCTGATTTCTTTATCACTAATCACAAACTTGTAATTTAATTTTAATAATCCCTCAATCTCTTATATTAGTCATTCGATCCGTATTCAGTTACCGAATTTCTACCACATTCATATCGAGTGCATAAATTAATCAACTCCACAAAAGTGACCAACATTATCTTATTCATGCATTTACTAATATCAACATGTTCCATAAAGCATAAAGAGGTAGTAAAGTATTACCTCGATTTTTGTGCAATATTGATCGACCATAAAAATTCCATTCGAACGCCTTTGATCTTTAATTCAACTTCCAATAATTCCTCATATACATATCAACATAAATTATATAGAAAACGGAGCTTAATTCTAAAAAACGGATCGAATCGGATGATAAATCAGTGAAAAATAGCTTATCGGGTTCGAATTTGGCGAAACAGACTTCAGATTCGGATTCAGGACATCGAAAGCATAAAATATGACTTTTCGAAGATTTAGAATTTTCGGTCAAAATCAAAGTCAACGGGTTTGATTGGAAATTTCGAGGTCTTCGGGTTCGAATTTCAAAAAACGGACTGCGGAATCGGATTTGGAACGTCGAAAAATGTCAGGATAGGTATACTCGGTCAAAATCAAATGTCGTTTAATTCCCGGTCAAAGCCGGTCAAAGTTTTGGTCAACTATGGTCAACGTCGGTCAACAGTCAATGGGTCAACAGTCGACCATCTTGCACAAATATCACCCTAACAAAAATTAATTACCAAATTAGCCACATTCTGCAAATATTTACCAATCTAACACCCGAATTTTACACAAATAGCACCCAAACATAAATTAATTACTAAATTATCACCCAGACGATGCCCACTCTCAGGGGGTGGCGCGTGTGGCGCATGAACAGTGCTACGGTGTCGGAAAATTCCCATAAAAACTCTTAAAAATTATTTTAATCGACGAAAAACCAACTGAAATCGAGTTATTACCGACGATACTTCCGACTGAAATTAACGACGAACGGCGACGATTCACGACGAAAGGTTTGAGGGGTTTTGTTCCTCGGTCAACAACGAACACGATGATGGTTTCGGTTCGTCGATCGGAGGTCAGACGGCGAGTAGATCGGAGTTGAAATAAGGGTTGTTGGAGAGAGAAAACAGAGAAAAATCTGCAGAAACAATCGGGAAATAGGTGTTATAATTCATCCCAAAACAAAAATGGTCAAATCATGAGTTTAGCCACTGAATTTCTTACACTTCTTAAAATGGTCTGCCAACTTTGAAATTTTATAATTTAGTCCACCGTTTCTTTCAAAATACCAATTAAATCCAATACTTTATAATTTCTAAAATTTAGCCCTTAAATTAGGGTGTTACAAGTCTTTTTACGGAGTTATCAACCGTCGAGCACTCCACACTGATAACGCCACCAATACTGATCGTGATCTTTGTCGAATTTCGCACCCAACGGTCAAAACTCTACCTACAAGCAAAAACGAGAAAAACAAAGTAATCAGAAACAAGTTTGGGACCATTTTTTTTATAAACAAGAGGGGTTCTATAAAATCCCCTCTCCAACAGTTGTAAAATGGATTTTTCCCACCATTGTAAAACGATTCCATAGCAATAAAGAAGTGAAACTTTTCCTTGTCAAAAAATTACAGCAGAAAGTTTTTCCCCGATTCTTGAAGAATCAATACACCGAACACAACCAAGAACCATTTTCATTTGAAACAAACAAGTAAATACAAAACAAAAAGATACAAAACATTCAACCATTTTCTAGAATCATTTTCATGCTTCGTTGAAAACAAAAAGAGATACACAATTTCCAGCAGCACATTCAAACCCAAAAGGAGGAGAAAACAGAACCATTGAAGGAATACAGAGTTTTTTTAAAGGTATTTTTCATGATTTTTGAAAAATCATAGCAACGTTTCTTTGGATTTTTCATGTACTTCATTCGAATCAATTATAGAAAGGGGAAAGTTTCGCTTACCTTTCTTCGTCTGATAGTCATCTCGTCGTTGGAGTGGAGCATCGTCGGATCCGATGAGTTGAACAGTTGAGCTTGCATCAGTTTGGGCCTCTTTTTTTGGGGTTCTGAAAGAAAAAAGGGTAGGTTCTTTTTTAAGGATAAACTTTGGTTCAACCGACCACCATTGGTGGTAGTCCGGGCTCATAGCAAGGCCAGTTTATGGCCATGGACTGATAGTGTTAGGGGTTAAGAAGTACGTCGACCATTTGGGAAGTTGGGTTTTGGTTTATTAGATCTCAATTTAGTTATTTTTTAGATGGAGTAGGTCTCAGTTCTGTGATAGGGGAGTTTTGGGACCTATAGTCTCCATCAATGGTGGCCAAGGAGGAGTGATCGCCAATATGTGGTGGTGTTTCTTGGTCACAGCCTTTTCGGTCGGGGTAGAGAAGAGAGTAAATGTGAGCAATCGAATCCCTTTTAGCTCTATTGGGTGGCCTTTTCAGCTACCCATGCTTTGTTTGACGTCCGACGAGGGGGATGAGCACCGGTGCTTGACAGTCGGAGCGATTTTGAGGCCTTAGGGTTGAGGTGCCGCCACCAGTGGGAATAAGTTGTGGATAGTGAGAAGAAAAAATGAGAAGGGAGGCCTTTTATGATTAGGCTCTTTTTTACCTGAAGTAGAAAAAAAGTATTATATCAAAAGTTTAGGGTTACTCATGTAATGATCCCTTAATTACTGTCGTGTTTTTATATTTTGGTCACGATACCTCTATTTTGTTTTATTTTTTTACTTTTGGCCTTTTCTTTTATTTTTAGTTCGATTTAGCCACTTCTTAATTTTCTGTTTATTTCGATTTAGATTATGTTTTTGTTACCTTGTTACATTTAGGTCACTTATTTATTTTTTTAATTTCGAATTAGCTACTGTTTTTTATTTCCTTTTATTTTGGCCACTGTTTTTAGTTATAATATGCTCATTATTTATTTTATTTTAGTGTTTTATTATTTATTATTATTTTAAACGTTAATACATCTTTGTGGTGACCGGTCTTGAGGTATGATCAACATTATCATGGTCCGTATAAAATTATAATTTCTAACTTTTCTAATTTATTAACCTCTAACTTTAATTATATTCGATCCCTTTAATTTGTTATTTACCTTTCTGTTATTTAGATTTCTGCTCCTTTGTTTCTATCTTTGTTATTTTATATTTAGTACCTATTTTTAACATATTCATGTTTCGATCTTAGTTCTTTACTACACTCGCATATGCCTTACAATCGATCTTAGTTCTTTACTACACTCGCATATGCCTTACAATTTTAATAACTTTGTTTTGAGTATTAATATTTTTATACATATGAACCATTTACTAAAATAATATTATTTTATATTAATCATTTACTAAAATAATATTATTTTATATGAGGAATTTATGGAAATGCACCTTAACAATGAGTGTGTTTAAGAGAATTATTCGTATAGAATAATACATTTGCATTTTTATATATTCGACTGATTTTATATATTAAATATGTGTGTTCTCTTCAGAAAATTATCTTATATGGGAAGTTTATACTTAATTAACAACTCAAGAATTAACCACAAAATAACATTGTTTTTACTCCGAATTCTTTATTTTATTTCATTTACTCTTTATATATATATATATATATATATATATTAAATATAATTTGATAAAAAAAATGCTCTTTTGAATAGAGAATCCATAAAAAAAACACGCCTTAACTAATAAGGAGTATGTTCATCTTAACTAACAAGGAGTATGTTTTTTATGATTATCCATACTTAATAATTCTTTTTTCAAAATTTTTGTTCTAATAGGATCATAATTTAAATATATATTCAAATTTGTGAATTTCAATATTCAAACATATAGTTATTTAGGTATCGATTTTGGGCGCTATAGGGCAATAATCATTCCCCACGCGTAATCGACTCTCGAACCTTTTTTCAAAATAAGTTTCTGATTAAACGCGTATCACTTTTTATCTTTTAAAATAATTTTTCTTAAAATTATTTTACTTTTTATCTTTTAAAATATTTTTTCTTAAAATTATTTTAAAAGATCAGGTGTTGACTTACCTACTTAATTCAAATGTCAATGACGACTCAAAATTTATTTATTTATGCATTTATTTTAATACTCGATATTATTTTATTAAATTTAATCCAAATGTCAATGACGACTCAAAATTTATTTATTTATGCATTTATTTTAATACTTGATATTATTTTATTAAATTATATCGCTCCCCGCCATAGCCTAAAACGTTCTGACAAGATCAAACCATGCATACATCTCTTACCAGTAGCCTTAAAAGGTACAACACTTGTTATTACTACAAGTTATTTATTTATCTATCTATCATTAACGCATATATAAAATGACTAGTAGGAAAGTAACTGACAAAAGGCGGGTGATTTAGGGTTCTAGTGACCACCAGGTAGCTTCTCCTTGATCTTATCCATCACCCCTTTCTTCTCCTGGTTGTGTTGAGGATACGTAGGCCCTTGCCCCGGCGTTGTGGCTGACGCCGCCTGATATTGCTGCTCTTTGTGCGCTCCTCCTGGTAACTTCTCCTTCAGCTTATCTTTCACTCCCTTCTTCTTCCTCCCCGTTCCCTCGTCCTCAGATGACTGCATCAATATCCCACAATTATTACTATCCCTATTTCATCATTTGTTATTCAAACATACCAACGTATACTTACGGCCCGTCTCCTGTGCCGGAATCGGGTTGCCGTACTCATCGGTCTGGCGAACCGGGTTGCCAAATGCGTCAGTTTGAGTTACTTCGGGAGCTGAATATTGGTTCTGGAAGTGTGCCATAATTTTTTTTCTCAACTATAAACCTGAAACAACAACAATGAATGGTCGAAAGAAACTGGGTTCTGATTCGTTTTATCGGTGGAAAGTTGATAGGGTGAATAAGGGTTTTGATAGGAGAGAGAAATGAATGCGTAGCATGTAGCCATGAACACTGCAAAATGACACTAGCTGTTCACTCGGTTGCCACGTTGTTGTTGGAAGCTAAGTGTCGCAATAGTATCAAGGACAAGTGTTGATGATGTTAGCTATTTGGCATTATATAAGATTCATTATTTATTTCCCACCTAATGATCATATATCATTTCATATTCTTTGAATATAAAGATACATCCTCATCCAATAAATTAAAAGCTCTTTGTTTATTTATTTGTTTTGAATCAATTACAAATTTAATAACTATATTTTAATTTTTTTATTTCAGTACTTTAAAGTTATTAATTTTTTTACTAAATTTAATACATTAATTTTTTTATTTAACCGTTTTCTCACTAATAACAATATTAATGGGTTATTCTATAGATGCAAAACAACGTCGTTTTAGTGAAAAATTTATTTTTTAAACGATATCTTTTTAACACCGTTAACCATTTAACGGTGAAGTGATAAAAAAAAACTCATCGTATTAAGTTTAGTGAACAAATTGAAAACTTTTAAAGCACAGTGATAAAATAGGAATTCAGTGATGAAATTTGTAATTTACCCTATTTTTGTTATAATATAATTTTGTTGATATTACAAAACCCATCTAGTGGTCTTAGTTGTAAAGAAAAATATTAATCTATTTCGAAATTTTGAATTCGAACAATGACATTTGTTGAAGTTAATCAAGTGATTTATTGTTAAGTATTTGAATTCTTATTGCGACCTTCATAATATTTATGTATAACATAGTAAACCTGAAGCATTCATTTAGTTGTTTTGATGGAAAATGGAAATTTAGTTAAGTAATTACTTCGTATAATTATTATATTATTTAAATTAATTTATTTAATAAAAATTTAATATTTTAGTTATGGTTTATTATGCCCATTGCATTATTAGATTGTGAAATCGTATGCAACGTAATAGGTAAAAGTAAGTATTAATTAATTGATTATAAAAAAGTTTAATAAATTATATGGTAAAGTTTTTTATGACATGAAAGATAACTTAGGTCGATAAATAATTTATAGTTCATATAATTATTCTTTATATATATTATTTTATTGAGTTCCTCGACTATAAGGAGTTGCTTTGTTGAGTCATTCGACTATTCAAAGTTACAAAATGGTCACATGACTATTCATTATGTTCCAAACTCGTTATTTTCCGTTAAAAAATTAACGACAACCTAAGATGGACGTTAACCTACTAATTGAGATATAATAAAATCCGATATCATAATCTCAAACAACTATCATATCTTAGTTAGCATGTTAACGTTCAGCTCAGATGATTGTTAATTTCTTAATGGAAAAGGGCGAGTTTGGAACGTAATGAATAGTCGGGTGATCATTTTGTAACTTTTAATAGTCAAGGGACTCAACAAAGTAGTATCATATAGTCGGAGGACCATTTGCGTACTTTATCCTATTTATTATTATTAAAATAGATTGAATCGTGAGTAGAGACATAATTGTGATTGATCGAGTACGATAACATTTTGAATTGAACCCAAGATAAATGAATCTTAAATTTATTTATAAAATAACTTTATTTGAGACATTCAAAACATTTTTACCTTAATCTTAAATAAGACTATGTAAGTGTGACTTGAATACATCGCTATACAAAGAATCGATACGTTTCAAAGTAGGAAGTTAATGATTGATATGTTAAGTATGTAACTCATAAATTATGTAATTGCATTTATAGATGTGAATTAACCCAAAAATAAGTGATATAATCTCAATTGCATTGTATTATTTATGAAAATAAAAAGTATCATATATATATTTTTGAAAAATACTATCTTGTATTAATGTAATTACAAAGTACACCACCTCAAGGACCTCATTAAAAAACCTCCCTAAACTTAATCGGAGGAAAAAGAGTGCACCTTAGGGTGGAACTAAACGAAATGTAGAGTAGTTTATAACATATTCAGTTAACACCATAACATAGACCAGACCACAACCCTACAAATTTAACTTCTAAACAAACATTAGGAACAGACACAGGCTTTCACTGGAACCAAAACAAACAATAGAATAATAATACATGATCAAATAACAATATATAGACTCAACTCAGAAGCACTAACAGTAAAAAATCAACCTAAACTAAAACTCACAACGCTATTACACAACACCAGAGCTCACAATCATCATACACCACGAACGATAGCTTTCGGATTACGAACAAATTCATTCACCAATGGAATCAACAATGGCCATAAATAATTCGCCCAAACCCGTATCTAGAGCATAGCTTTATAAAATATCTGATCTGCCGAAAAAGAAATTCCATTAAATCTGGTTTTATTTCTGCAAATCCAGATTACCCAAATCATACAAAAAAAACCAATTTGCTATAGAGCCCGAACTCTCCTCCTTATTCTTTGTGAAAACCATGCCTCTAATAATTGTTTTACATTCTTAGGAAACACCAAATTTACTTTCCACATGTTGCACCAACGTTGCCAAACTTTCCAAACTACATCATAATTACATAAAACATGGTTAATTACTTCATGCTCACTTTTACAAAACAGACAGCAAGACTGATCATTGCAATTGACTCCTCTCTTTTCCAGCTCTAACATGATCGACAATATATGATGAACTGCTTTCCACACAAAGGCGAATACCTTAGGAGGTGCAAATTTAAACCAAACCAATCTCCAAATTGGGTCTTCCATCTTACCATCGCAAGCCACTTTTAAACAAAATAATTTCATATTATAGCTACCATCCTGCACACCATACCAAACTAATCTGTTAAGACCTTGTTCTACATTGACCGCTCTGTTCAAAACATGCCTGAATTGACTCCAAAATGGCTTTTCCCATTCAAAAAATGTTATTCTCAGCTCAATCCTCTATTCCCATACTTCGTGTACCCAACACCTGAACTCCCTGATCTTTCCGTATTTTTTTTACAGCTAAACCATATATTCTCGAAAAAGAATTTTTTAAAGAAACCTTTTCTGTCCAATAATCTGTCCAAAATTCAATCTTATTCCCATTTCCCATTACACACCTCAATTCAGCAAGGAAATCCAACTCATTAGACCCAGACGGATTAACAATATTACACCACACCCAAGAAGATTTTATATTTTTTACAGCTTTTGGAATGATCTAATCCTTATCATTATTATACTTAGCTACATCTATCTTCCTCCATAAACTATCATTTTCCACACTAAACCTCCAAATCCATTTATTAAGCAAGGCATGGTTCCTAGTTTTAACATCAAAAATTACCAACCCCCATGCGATTTCGGTCTACATATGTTATCCCACTTAATCCAGTGAATACTCATATCCGACTTATAATTCCAAACAAAGTTCGCTATGCATCTATTAATCACCTCAACTATGGACTTGGGAATTGAGAAAATAGACATATAGTACACATGCAAATTAATTAAAACAGATTTAATCAGTATTAACCTTCCTCCAAATGAGAGCAGTTTACCTTTCCAACTTTGAAGCCGATTTCTGACTTTGTCCAAAATGGGCTGCCAAAGAGACTTTGAATTCTTCTGATGCCCTAACTGTAGACCCAAATACGTTGACGGAAACTCTCCTCATCCACAATGAATTTATTCTGCCCAACTCCTAACTCTACTTTCTTCCACATTGATGACGAATAACTTAGTTTTTTTCATGTTAAGCTTCAAACAAACAGTCACTTCAAAGATTTTTATAACCCGATTAAAATTTAAAATCGACGCCGCTTTTGATTAGGAAAAATGAGTAGGTCATCTGCAAATTGGATATACGATAAAACAGTGCCTCCAGACCCTACTTCAACCCCACAACAAAGACCAATGTCCATCGCCTTCTTTATCATACAACTGAAAGCCTCGCCAACAATATTAAAAAGCAGCGGCGACAACGGACAACCTTGTCTTAGTCCCCTCTTGATTGAGAAACCGTTAGACAGAGACCCATTAACTAAGACAACAATCGTAGGAGTTGAAATACAAAAATTTATCCATTTTCTCCATCTTCTGCCGAAACCCATTTCCTTTAGAATCATATTCAAAAACTGCCAATCAACCGTATTGTAGGCTTTGCTAAAATCTGGCTTAATCAACACTGCTTTTTTCTTACTTTTTGTCAACCCATTAATGAGTTCATTGGCAATCAAACTACAATCAGCTATCTATTTACCATCAATAAAAGTGAACTGGTTCTCTCCAATCACTTCAGCAAAACAACTACCCATCCTCTTCGTCAATACACAAGATACAATCTTGTACATGCTACCCACCAAGGAAATTGGTCTAAACTAGTCAGGAGTAATTGCCTATGTTTTTTTCGGAATAAGAGAAATGAAAGATTTATTAAAAGAAAGGTCTTCTACTCTGCCCCAGTAAAACTCCTCCATAAACTTCATAACTTCTCCTTTAATATGCTTCTAGAATCTCTTAAAGAAGTCCAAACTGAAACCATCTGGTCCTGGCGCTCTTGATCCATCGGATGACTTAATTGTAAGCCAAACCTCATCTTCTATAAAAGGACTCTCAATAATCCTTCTGGTGGCAGCATCTAATCTCTTAAGGGGGATATCAAATCTCTTCAAAGGAATTGTTTTCACCTCATTATAACCAGCACGAAAATAGTTAACAAACACTTGTTGAATTCCAGCCTGATTCT